TCACAGAGAGGAAGTTTAAAATGAGCTTTACCAAAGTTAAATCTGTTAAATATGAACCGATCTCAGACAGACAGCAGCTGGACTCTGTGGATGTTTAGTGTGATGGTGTCGGCCATATTGTCCTCCCAGAGAGTTGCTCCTGTTGCTGCTGTTGACATTCATTATGAGGCAAATTTAAAATGTTTCGTTGGTCGTGTGTTTGTTGCAGATGAGCTGCTTTTGTCTCTGTGTTGCAGAATGACGATAATGAAGATAAAACCTGAGAGCGTCTGTATTGACTGTGATGATTGAGTCACTTATCAGGTACAACTGATTCTATCTGCTTCATCATCGTTAAAGTATCTTTGGCCTGAAAATCAGCTGTTTTTATGATGGACTTTGGTCACAAGGGACGGAAATCACAAATCTTATTTTATCGTTTAACTATCGATTATTGAAGAAAGGAAGCTGCAGAGTAACCAAAGAACCCGACCACGAAGGTTTAAGGTGTTTACTTCATGTTCCTCAAGGGGAAATAAAGAACAATGTCAGCAGAAAAGGATCATGGGAGGAAGTAAAGATGGAAAACAAACGAGTGTGTGAAACCAAACAGATGCTCGCCCACTCGTCCTCTCTTCACACTCTCTCATACAAACAGATGCTCTCTCAACATTCACAGCTCTCTGCACACAAACACCATAAGCTCCCGCTGTGTGTGTGTGCGTGTGTGTGCGTGTGTGTGTGTGTGTGTGTTACTACAGAAGAATGCTGTAGAACCAGACAGTCCAGAACATTAATATCACAATAGCTGCTTAGTGCAACAAAGTATTCAGATACTTTACTGCAGTAAAAAGTACTGATTCTACTCCATGAAAATACTTCACTACAAGTAAAAGTCCTGCATTCCAAACATTACTGAAGTAAAAGTATATAAATGTAGTTTAAGTATGATATCGGATGTTTCTGGATGTGTTGCATGATTTGAACTGGTTTAATCTGCATGAATGCATCATGTTCTATCAGATCATGTATGATGAGGCTTCTTAAAGACTTGGGTTAGATGAAGAAGTAGAAGGATTTTCTACGTCGTGTTTTGCAGGATGAAAACAGGAGAGGTGGGAGAAGCAACACGTCTGCATGATGTTACACTGAGTGGAGGTCAGAGAAGCCTCTCTAGTGACAGCAGCAGCTTTCTAATCAATTAGTCAAGACCTCCTCACTGTGTCCCGTTACCCGACAGACACGCTCACACACAAACAACCCAACGACTCTCAGGGAGGCTTAGAAACCCTCCAGAACACCCAAAAGGATCTCTAAAACCTCCTCAAAGACATCTGAAACCCTGAGAAACCTCCAGATCTTCATTCACAGCATCTAAACCCATTTATGGACTTCCTGGAACACCCGCGACCCCTAAAACCTTCTAAATTACAAATAAATCGTCCCGAAGAGCCTTTAAAAAAACATGAATATCCTTTAAACCTCCAGAAGAATGCCATCACTGTCCTGTAAAAGCCACTCAAAGACAACAAATCCCCCTCAGGAGGCACTGAAACCCCCCCAGACCACCAGAACCTCCTGAAGGACTTCTGCAACCTCCAGAAGGGCTCTAGAGCTCATTTATTGACGCATGTGAAGCTGGTGTGATCGATTCAGGAGTTAACTACTGAAGGAGTGTCATGAAGTAAGGGTTTAAATCCTCAGCGCTAAGATGGAGGATCAATACATTCTCAGGGCTTTATCTGCATTCCATTCATAACAGAAATCATATTACTTAACTTCAGAATTAGTAAAGAAAAGAGGGTCCTAGCAAACACAGTGGACAGCTGACAACAGAGAGGCCCAGACATGGTTAATGGTTTGTGTTTGTGTTGTTCACTGTGCGTTGCTGAGCAGTGACGTTGCACGATAACCTTCCACTGTGTTTAAGAGTCTTTTATAAACACATTCCTCACAGCTCAAAGCCAACTCAACAGAAATTCCTCTGTAATGTGATGAGTTAGGCTGACAGAGGAGCATCTGTGAGCTCAAATGAGGAGATGAACTGGTGAGGTTTGACGCAGGACGGCCTAAATACCCGGACCCTGAACACATCATCCCATTACATCTGCTGGGCAGGGCCCTTAAACCCCATTAGACCCCCAAAACAGATCTCTAACACCCCTAAAAAGCATATTGCGTCCCTTTAAAGTTTGCTACGCCACCGATGGACCCATTAATCCTCCACAAGGACATTCAGAAATCTGTAAGGGGCCCCTGAAGGACCTCTAGAACCACAAGGAAGTCTCATGGAACCACTTCAAATGCTCCTAAACAAGCTGCACACATCCACTGAACCCACAAAGGACCCTCTTGAACCCCTTTAGGATCTTCAAAGACATCTGAAACATCAGGGGACTCTACAGCCCCACAGAATCATTGAGATCATCTACATAATCTGTGGAACCTTGGGCCCTCCTGAACCCGCTCGGACCCCTCTAGGACCATGTCGAAAACCCTTCTGACCCCTAGTAGTAGAAGGCCCTGAGAAACCAAAGGATCTTTAATCCAGATCCACCTAACCTACTGACCCATCTCTTCAACCTTTTTTCTAAAACCTCCTCATGGACAAACCTTCGAAAACTCCAGGGAAACCTGAGAAACCTCTAAATCCACTAGATACATCTTAAAAAACCCTCTGAAATACACTCATCTTGAACCTCTTCAGAGACGCTTCTAACCCGTTCATGGACTTCCTGGAACCTCCTGAAGCACCTACGACCCCTTGGTGATGCCCTAAAACCTCCTAAATGACATATAAATTGTCCTGAGGGACCTCGAGAACCTTTAAAAACATAAATACCCATCCAAAGGCTGTGGACAGATCCACGGAACCCCCAAAAGAACCTCTGATGGAGATCGGTGGAACTCCTCCTCTCTAGAACCCCTAGAAAGTCCTTTAGGGACTGGATTTGCACAGAACCCTCACACCCCAATCCTTAGAACCTAACAAGCACATGTGACCCTCCTCCAGACTTTAGCTGCACTGGGCCACTCCCAGTTTGAACAATGTGAACCAGGGTGGAACATCAGGCTTTACTGGAAAACATAAAATGTTCACGACGAACCTTGTTCTAGCTTGTTAGCCGCCATGACACCAGGCCAGGATGTGGACACGTTGACCACAGATCATTACTCCTTCTGGATTTGAATAAACGCAATTAGCGTTGAGCTCTAGAGATAGAAATCCAAACTTCCTGTGATTGTCGTGCAGCCTGTGGCTGAAATCTGAGCCGTCATTTCCATAAAACACAAACAGTAGAACTGAAAGTATCAGCTCAGTTAAAGACAGGTGGATACAACAAGCACCTGGACCAGGGGGACCAGGAGGACCAGGGGGACCAGGGGGACCAGGACCTTCAGCCCAGAGTCTCCAGAGAAATGAGAATATGTAGAAAGCACTACCCGGATCAAAGAAAGACCTGAAGTCACTGAATGTGCATTAAAAGCTGTAAATTAGGAGAGCAAGAGTTATGGACCACGCTACAGGTAGAATATATATGTTTATATGTATCCTCACAGTCTGTATGAATAAATATAAAACCCTAATAAATATGAATAGATACACAGCGGGAACACAAGATAGTCCGTATACACAAGGCCGAGTACTACAAACGTACTGTTAGTTATGTATGTTTTTGTGCTGTTCCTTACTGTTATGTCTATTTTGTTTACATTATAAATACTTCTTTTCTTTCTGTTTTTACCATGTAATGTGTCTTTGAGTACCTTTTAAAGCGCTGTACAAATAAAATGTATTATTATAATTTACTAGAAGGGAGAAATATGTAAATATAAGACAGTAATTGTCCAAAGGTCACATGAAGTACTGTGGACAAAAGGAGTAGTACATTCACTGGTCAATATGGGAAACCATGGAGACGCTATCACAGGTGATAACGCACCACAGATATACAATAAACACAATACCGATGAGTAGAAAGTACAACACTGTATGATCCTTTACTGCAGTAAAAGTACTAATACCACAGTCCAAAAATATGCTGTTACGAGTAAAAGTCCTGATTTCATGTTAAACAGTATTATCAGCTGAAATGTACTCAAAGTATAGAAGTACTCATTGTGAAGAACGGCTCCTTTCAAAGTGTTGTACTTCTATATTATTCTATATTTTCGTGTACTACTCTGTATATTAGTAGTATTGTAATAATTATTAGCATATTATGTGTTTTTTAAAATCAAATATACGTAGAGCAGTTAAAAGTAGAATATCTACAACGATGAAGTAGAATGTAAATACTCGTAGTATAGTACGATGTATTTGTACTAGCTGACATTATTGATCCACACTGGATACAGGTTTGACGTACTGATGAATATCAACGAGGATTTTCACTGTGAAAACTTTTGTATTTTTAAAAATACTGTAGTATAAACGGAGTGATACTACTTTAAAATATATCCTATGTAGGATATTACAGAAACCATTTCAGGGAATCATAAGAATATATAAGAATACACACTTTAAGACTAAATAAGACTGTAGTATTGTTCTCTGACAAAGTACTTCTGGAACTACCCTTTTGTTTAATTTATAAAAATATGTTGTATTTAAAAAGTACTGTGTGGTTATCTAGGAATATCACAGAATACGTAATAATACAGTTTATTATAGGAACACAAGTATGAAATCAATATAGGACGATATATTGGAGAAAAGTATATTATAAAGTATATAAATGTACTTTAGGAGGATCTTGTAGGTCACAAACTAGAGGCAGTATAGTACTATTATATATGATATTATAGGAGATAAACTCTATAATAAAATACAACAAAGAATATAAATAAACACATGTATGAATACACAAGTATTATACGAACATATGTATGTGCAGAGGAAAATAACTAGTTAGTTTAGTATTATAAAGTATATCATGATGAGAATATCAGAAGAGACTCTGAAGATCACAAAATACATCTGTATAAATGTAAATATATATATATTACTCTATAAAATACTTATACCTCATACCTGATATATTATAAGAGATACAGTTATTATAAATAGCAACTGTATGAATAAATAAATTATATATATATATATATATATATATATAAATAAATAAATACATTTTAGCAGGTTATGTCACAAATATATAGAACTATTATACATGATATTATGACGATATAAATGTAGAAATACACAAGTACTACAGTAATATATGTGGAGTACGTCACAGGAACACACTGATACAAGCATCAAATATGTGAGGTGTCGCGTGACTCGCACCTCCTCCTCTGCGGTCGCTCCGTTGCCTACGTGGGCCATGTTCCGCGCGCCCGGTGCCTGTCCTCCTTCAGGTCCGCTGGGTTCCTCTGCGGTTCTCTATCAGGAGAACCTTGGTTCCATGTCTGTCTCACGCGCGCCCACACACACGTGCAGAAGCAGTCCTCACTGATTGATCCGTTAGTGTGATTGTTATGTGATCCGGTGCGTCCTGCTTCCTCTCTGCTCGTGCGCTCTCCCTCTGTCCCCCCCTCCCCTCTCTCTCTCTCTCTCTCTCTCTTCCGCGAAGAGGAGAGAGCTGAAAACACACCTCCGGGGTTTCCTGTTCCACGCCCCCAAACAGAGAGAGTGAGGGAGAGACAGAGAGACAGAGAGAGAGAGAGACAGAGAGACAGAGAGAGAGAGAGAGAGAGAGAGAGAGAGAGAGAGAGAGAGAGAGAGAGAGAGAGAGAGAGAGAGAGAGAGAGAGAGAGAGAGAGAGAGAGAGAGAGAGAGAGAGACAGAGAGACAGAGAGAGAGAGAGAGAGAAAGACAGAGAGAGAGAGAGACAGGGAGTCTGTCTAATCAGATATTATGATAAATAACTCTACACGATTAGAAACACAAAATATATAAATACTTCATAATATTTTCCTATTTAAATGTTTGTATCCAGCAAAAGTACTATTCCAGCAAAAGTACTATTCAAAAGGTACTTAAGAAAATACATAAATATTAACATCATGTACTTAAAAGTACAAAACCGGAAAGTATACGCACTATGAAGAACGGCCCATTTCCACTGGATCTCTACTTACACGCTTAAAGTACTTGTACTTTACTAAAGTATTTACATTGTTATGCTACTTTATACTGTACTACATCTCAGAGGTACATAATGTACTTTATACTATACATCTCAGAGGTACATAGTGTACTTTAGACTGTACTACACCTGAGGTACATAATGTACTTTAGACTGTACTACACCTCAGAGGTACATAATGTACTTTTGACTGTACTACACCTCAGAGGTACATAATGTACTTTTGACTGTACTACTTAAGAGACTGGAAGACAAAATGAAATGATTTGTGATTCTTTAATTATTCACTAATTCTCATGATCATAAATGTTCTTACAGAGTAAACGACTGCACACAAGAAACAACAAAAAATGTCACAATAAAAATACTGAATAAAACATCTTGCTGTACAAAGTTCTATAAAAGCAGTTCTTCATGAGGTCACTGCTGCAGTGCGTTGAGCAAGGCACCTCCGAATCCTGCCCGGCAACCGAGGCGTGAGCGTCAACCTTCAACGGATCCACTTAATGCTAAAATGTGAAGATTTAAAACCGGTTAAATGTCCTTTAATCAGACATTAAATTAAAAAAAGAAAGCACACTTTTAAATTAAAACTACATTTCCCATCAGCCCCGTCACATCCTGTTCTCCCTGAACCAACACAGGTGGAAGGTTTTAAATATTTGCAGATGACGTAGTGATGAAATAAGATTTGAGTTTGACCAGATTTTTACATGCTCTTGTGAGGACCAGATGTCCCCTTAAGTACTGTTACTGTAGTATTTGAAAAGATGACTGAAGGACCATGTGAGGACCAGATGTCCCCTTAAGTACTGTTACTGTAGTATTTGAAAAGATGACTGAAGGACCATGTACCCGCTCCTCATGAACAGTTAGAGGCAGGTTAAGGCTACGCCGGCTTCTTGAAGGTATAGATGGTTCAGGTGAGCTTAAAGAGACAGGTGAGGGTACAAGTTAAAAACAAAGGTCTTAATGCTCAGGTGAATGTAGTTATTAATGTATATTAATAGTAACGTCACTATTAATTAAACTAATGCTAACAAACTGTAGCTGCTCAGGTGTGAAAATCCATCCGAACATGTTAACTCCTACTCAGATATCGACATCCTTTCATATACAACAGGTAATAAATAATCAGGTAATGTACAGGTGTGTGTGAGTGGAAGAGGTCATTGTCCATGTGGTGGGGGGAGGGGTGCTTCCTCAGATTAGAGTTGGTTCAGTCCAGGCTGCTTCAAAAATACAGATTCTTCAGGGGCAGTCCACTGGAGCTGTGGGGGTGGACAACACAAACAATAAACAAAAGAACAACAATAACAACCTGCAAATCAGCATTATTATCGAAGGAAAACATTGTTTTATTAAGTGTATATAGTCCTTTTATGCTATAACATAACAAAAATGATCCGTATTCTTACTACATTCACATGAATTTACTCACCGATTTCTGTTTTCGCCTCCTCGTCCTCTCCTCCGTCACCGCTCTTCCTTGTCTCCTTCCCTTCCTCCACAGGCTCCTCCCCCCTCAGCTTCTCCACCCGCTGAGCCTCCTCCCTCTCCTTCTCCTGCAGTAAAGAACGCAGGAAGGCGGCGCTCACCACCTCCTCCCCCTCCCCCACCAGGAAAGCGTTTTTGAAGCGGCTGTACAACATGGCCGCCTTGTCCATGATGGCCTGGTTAGCTCGGTAGTAGCGTAGCTTCCTGAGCGTGGAGACGAGCTCGCTGTGTCTCTGGACGTGTTTACACGTCACATAGACCATGCTGAGCTGGTCCAACGCCAGCAGACACTTCCTGATGTCCTGAAACACAAAGAGAGACGTTCTCTAGTCTCTGCTCTCTGATATTTTACTTTAGTTATTCCCTTTACTCTTATTGCCATCATTGTATATTTTTGTCAGTTAAGATGTAGAAGTCACACGAACATGCGTTTATATGAAAACTAAAGCGAGTGGACTTGAGTCTTACGGGGTTGTCGGTCTTCAGAGAGATCCGGATGTCTCCGTGGATCCGGTGCAGCGTGGAGTCCGTCAGCGTCATGGTGGAACTCTTCTTCTTCTTCTCTCCGCTCGACGAGCCGCTCTGCGTTGTGCCGTCTTCTTCTTCTTCTGCGCTCCTCGTCTCCTCACCCGCTCTGGACTCATCTTCTCCCTCCGCCGTCGCCGTTTTCTTCTTCTGCGTTTTCGCCTCGTCTTCTGTGCACTTCTGCTCCGACTCCGCGCCCTTCGTTGGTTCTTCTTCTTCTGTAATTTTGCCGCTCTTCTTCTCCCTCTTCTGTTCGCTCGGTTTTCCCACCTCGCTTTCCTTCTTCTTCTCTTGTGATTTCGCCGGCGCTTTCAGCTCCTCTTCCTTCTTCTTCTTCGTCGTCTCGTTTTCCTTTTTACCTTTTTTCTCTACCTCCGTTACGTTCTTGTCTTTCCTGTCGTCCGTCGACTTTCTGTCCTCAGATCTCTTCTCTCTCTTTCCAAAACTCTTCTTCTTATCTTCTACCTTTTCCTCTCTGCTTGTCGTCTTCTCCTCTTTCTTCTTCTTCTCTTCTACCGACGCTGCTGCTGCCATCACCGCTCCTCCCATGATGGTCTTCACCTGGACCTTCGTTCCTCCTCCAGACGTCGCCTTCACGATCTTCCCGATGATTTTCCTCTCGTCCTTCTTCTCCTCGTCCTTCTTCGTCTTGTCCTCAGTCTTCTCCTTTTCTTTCGTCTTCACGTCATCCGTAACTTTCCTCGCGCCGGGCTTCTTGTCCGGCTCCTCCTTCTTCTTCTCTTCTTTTTCAGCGCCACCTTTCTGTTTCACCTCCGTTGTTTCTTTCTTGCCGACGGACTTCCTGCGGATCAAACTCTTCTTCTCTGGCACCGTGTGACTCCTCCTCTTTTTAACCTCCAGGTTCTTCTTCGCTGCTTCTTTCCTGTTGACAATAAAACATGTAAAACCTCCTTTCACGCTTTAATAAAAACACGATGAGTGTGTTTGTTTCTTACTGGGAGCTCCTCTTCATCGTCCTCTTCGCTCCTCTCCCGGCCTTCAGCAGACCTCTCAGAGACTTCAGCAGACTTTCCCTCTTGGCAGCCAGGCGGCGCTGGCGCTGCTCAAACACAGATCATATCGATGTTTGGATTATTGCACAAACAGCAGGTATTCTACATGAATGCTTCCGACCACAGGAAGCAGAAAGTACCGTGTTTAAAGCCACGTTTGTGACGTTTGTCTTTATCTGAATCTGGAGGCAGAGAGGATTTTAAAGTTTCATATCTTTGGGACTTTAGATGTTTTCTTTATTCTGACATTGTTTACGTCTGTTTTATGCACCTCATTGATCATGAAAAATGTTTTTCAGTTGATGATGTGAGACATTGATGGAGCTCTAATCTGCAGATTATTGATGTTTTACTGGATAAAAGATAAAATAGTTTACGTTTCTTTTATAAGTTCTGTTTATTGAATAAACCTTTCTGTTGTTCTCAGAAACCAGAATAAAGACATCTTCACCTCCTCGTCCACAGCGCCGCCTCCCTTCTCCTCTTCTTCCTTTCCTTCATCTCCTGCATCCTTCTTCTTCTTCTCTTCCTCTGCTCTCCTCGTCCCTTTGCTGCCTCCACTTTTCTCCTCCTTCTTCATCACCTCTTCTTCCTCCTTCGTCTCTCTCCTCGTCCTCTTCTCCTTCTTCTTTCCTTCACTGCTACCTCGCTCCGTCTTCCCCTCGTCGTCCTCCTCTGCTCTCCTCGTCTTCATCACTCTTCCCTCTAATGTCTTCCTCTCTTCTTTCTTTTCCTCACCTTCTTCCGGCTTCGTCTTCTTCTCTTCCTCCCCTCTCCTCGTCCCTTTGCTGCCTCCACTTTTGTCCTCCTCCGTCTCCTTCATCACCTCTTCCTCCTGCGCTTCCTTCTCTTTGCTCTCAGTTTTCAGCTCTTCCTTTTCTCTCGTTCTTTTTCTTCCCTCGCTCTCCGACCTTGTCTCTCTCCTCGTCCTCTCCTCCTTTCCTTTGCTGCCACCTTGTTCTGTCTTCCCCTCGTCCTCCTTCTCTGCTCTCCTCGTCTTCATCACTCTTCCCTCTAATGTCTTCCTCTCTTCTTTCTTTCCCTCCACACCTTCATCCGGCTTTGTCTTCTGCGGTTTCTCCTCCTCTTCCTTTCCTTTCCTGTTGTCCTGATTCGTTTCCTTCTCTTCCCTCTTCCTCTTGACTCCTTGGCTCTCTGATGACTTCTCCTCTTCCTCCTTCTCTTTTGTCTTTGCTCCTCTTCCTCCCTCCACACCTTCGTCCTGCGCCTGTTTCGCTCCTTTCTTCTCCGACCTCGTCTCTCTCCTCTCCTTTCCTTCGCTGCCACCTTGTTCCGTCTTCGCCTCGTCCTCCTTCTCTGCCCTCCTCGTCTTCATCACCCTTCCCTCTGATGTCTTCCTCTCTTCTTTCTTTCCCTCCTCACCTTCATCCTGCTTCTCCTCCTCTTTCTTTCCTTCACCGTTGTCCTGATTTGTTTCCTTCTCTTCGTCCTTCTCGTCCCTCTTCCTCTTGACTCCTTGGCTCTCTGATGACTCCTCTTCCTCCTTCTTTACCTCCTCTTCCTCCTCGTCTCTCCGTCCTCCCTCGTTCTTCGACATTTGTGTCGGGGCAGACTTCGGCTTCTTACTCACTGAAAAACAAACACCGGAGAGATTTAACTCTCTCGATAGAATTGATCCTGAAGATGATTGATTAACAGTGTGTGTGTGTGTGCGCGTGTGTGTGTTACACTGTGTGTGTCTATGTCTATAGGTGTGTGTGTGTGTGTGTGTCTATAGGTGTGTGTGTGTGTGTTATCTACCTGGAGAGGTCACAGCAGGTGTCGTCTCCTTTTGCTGCTCAGCATCAACCTGAAAGAACACAGAAAACATGAAAACGGTCGGTCAGAGAACTCGTTAGTTCACATTTTATTCTGAGCCTGGTTTGAATCTCGACCTCCTTCACACAGTTTTTTACTCATAAGTATCCAAACAGATAAAACAATGAAAGTCTCTCTCACCTCCTTCTCTTCCTCACTCCTTCCTCCAGCAGCTGATCTTCTGCTCCTCCTCGTGGTGACACAAGTCTCGTCTGAAGTCGGTTTGGAGTCGGTCGTTTTCTGCGGAGCAGATCTCAGCGAAGCCCTCGTTGGAGTTTTAGCCACAGCAGCTGTTTCCTGTTTACTCGTGACTCGGGTTCTACCGGGACAGGGTCTATCAGAAGAAGTCGGTTTAGCAGGTGTAGTTTTAGGTGCAGAAGTCGGTTTAGCAGGTGTAGTTCTAGATGGGGTTTGCGTGTTGGTCTGTGCTGGTATCTGAGGACACAACAGAACAGAAAAAGGTTCATTAAACACAAAGAAAATTGGTTTATTAATTATAAAACAAAACACAAAAAAGGAAACATAAAACAAACGTAAACAATGCCATAAACGTGACAGCTCAGCATCACAGCATCAGAGGAGGACTCACTCTGACTTTACTCCCGACTCCCGGCGTGTTCTGGATCTCCCACATGCCCTCTGAGAAGCCTTTGCCGCGGACACCGCTGCCGTACTTCATCTTGTTACCGATGAAGGGAACAACGTTCTCCACAAGGACCGAACCTCTGCAGGGGGAGGGGGGGCAGAGAAGGGAAGTTCAATAAGCAACATGGCGGCGTCACCAACGGGGTGGGGGGGGACTGTGTGTACGTACATCTGATGGGTACCGAAGAAGTAGACCGGGACTCGCTTCTTGGTTCCAGTGTCAGACTTACAGATCTGAACAAACAGAGATGTTATTATAGATATTATATATTATTATTATTATATGTCAACTGTCACAGTGCGTGTGTGTGTGTGTGTGTGTGTGTGTGTGTGTGTGTGTGTGTGTGTGTCTCACCCTAGCAGGCCAGTAAGGGAACCCCTTCATCTTGGCGAACACCAGGTCTCCCTGCTTGTTCTGCTCCATCTCTGCTGCTTCAGATCTCAGAGAAACAACCTGAAGGAGAACAGACTTCATGTAGACTTTACATTAAATACTTTAACTCATGAAGTAAAGTACAACAGCCTCGACTTCATATTTAAAGTAACTGTTCCCTAAACTCAGTAGTCTCCTTTAAACAGCGTGTTCACTGTTTACAAATACGAGGCGTGCTAGCGCTAATGCTAACTTTAAGCTAGCTAGTCGTTAAAACAAACCCTCCGGAGGTCTGCGTTCTTCTTCTTCTCTTTTTTTAAATGTTTTAACGGGACAGCGGGATTCGTACTTACCGAAAAAGAAACGTACCGAAGTGGAACCGCGAGATAAACGCGTCGGTCTAACGGAAAGGCTTCTTGTTACTAAGCTACGAGCTGCCCACACTCCGCCGCCATGTTGATGCGATCAGCGCGCGTCACGTGACGTGAGGTGCGGCGCTTTTCCCGCCTGCCGTTGGGACTGTACCATTAACGCGGGGGGGTTCAGAACGCAAAAAATACTAAAATTAATTACATTTAGCGCCCTATCCGATTATATATTTAAATAAGTACATTTATTTAAGTACTCTGCTTTTTAAAATTACTTCATTGAAATGTTTCTTTTTAATAATCTTCCAGACAGTTGTTACTTCACATTGTTTTACTTTTTATTCAAGTTAAACTGAGGGCTTGAGATAGTGTAAATAGGAATGGGACAGCACTTTGCTGCAACATATCACGTTACCATGAAAACGACAATAAATATGATGTATAATTGTGTGTATTTATTGTATACTTTGTACTCCCTGATGTGAACGTCTTCAGGCTCTTTCCTCACTAGATGAGCGGTAACTTCATATCATCTATTTACTCGTTTTTGTCAAAACAGCTTCAATGACAAAATCAAATATTTTTGATTTTGTCATTGACAAAACTATGATGTAGTGATAATTAAAGCAAGTTGCACAAATGTATACAAAAAAAACACTTTTTTTAATGTAAATACAAATACATTTTTCCACAAACTTACCCAGCAGACTAAGAGGTACTTTTGGTACAAATACCCCCCAAAAAATACTACTCTCCTCTGGATTTGAAGAGTTTTCATTTGACAATTTGTGAATGTTTTCCAAACACAAGCAGCTGTACATAAATAAAGAAAAACAACATTGTAATTTAAATTATGACTTTATGTTATGGACACATTTGTCTTTTTTCCGATGCCCTACCGCTTCAGTTACGACTTTATTTTAGTGTCATTCGTTCTGATATCTGGAGCATCAACAGTCAATGAGGATGAAGATCTTCTGGGACATTCGCTCTTCATCGCTTCACATATTTATGTTTGTGAGGAAACATAAATATGTCCCAACATTCCCGTGTTTCTCGTCCACAGTAGGAACGTTATGAGGCACGTAATCCGACAAACAGCCGAGATGTTGATCCACTCCTTTTTTAATCGCTACCGCTATCGCTGTCTTCCTCCTCTTCCTCTTCCTCCACGTCTTCCTTCTTCTCCGTCTCCTCTACGAGTCCCGAGAAGAAGTCGTTTTCCCCGTGGGCTTTCTTGGACAGGGACTTCATGCGTCCGTCCTTCTTCTTCCTCTTGCGGTACTCGTTGACGGTGGTGCCGGGCAAACTGGAAATGTCCCAGAACTTGATGAGCTGGTCGTGGGCGCTGCTGGCCAGGAAGCGGGTGTCCCAGGACTTGGCGAGCTCCTCGATGGGTTCGCCGACGTGCTGCCCGATGCAGCCGAGGACCCGGTTGGGAAAGAGGTTGACGGCTCTGATGGAAGGACACATTACAACATCTTAGTAACTTGTAATTTAGACCACCGAAAGATCATTAGGGACCACTTTAAAGCATCTTAGACATCAAAACATCAGCTTGGACCAATAGACCAGTGTGGTCTAGACCACTTCGATCCATTTAAAGACCAGGTTAGACCATCGGAAAACCAGTTTGGACCATTTTAGAGCATTTAGAAACCAGAGTAGAATACCAAAACATCCACCTGGACCATTCAAATACCAGCTTGATCCACCTAAAGACCAGCTCAGACCATCAGAAGACCACTTTGGACCATTAAAGGATCCTCTTAGACCCTCGTCAAACCAGCTTGGACAACAAAACCACCAACGTGGACTCTTAGTAGACCCCCATGGATGAAGTCAGACTACTCACCGGATGTACCCGTCCATGGAGGCGGTGCACACGATGCTGTCGGTGATGGGGGCGATGCACTCCACCGACTCGGCCTTGATGGCGAAGCGGTCGCTGGTGGCCCCGAAGCCGTTCCAGTTGAAGATGTAGATGGTCCCCTCGCTGGAGCCGCAGACCACCTTCTTGCCCCGCTTCATCAGCGCCATCGAGGTCAGGTCGCCGCTCTGGCACTCCGACAGCAGCTCGAACCGCCGCCTCTTGATGTTGAAGACGCCCATGGTGCCGTCGCCGCTGTGGGAGGTTTCAGCAGATCAAATCAGAGACCCCCGGTTAACCCTCCGAACCATAAAACCCGAAAGAATGTTTTCGTTAAACAGTCGCCAAAACTACACTGTTCATCACAGCCAGAAGCTAAAAACACGTCATTATTGTTATACGACTGTCCTTGAACACATCATGTGAGACGAACGTTTCGGTCACAAAAAGCATCCGAATCTAAGCTTAAAACTGTGATATTTCATCAGAAACATCAGGTGAATTGACGGCGTTGGTTGGATTTGATCCGCCGCGGTGGTGAGGTGAGAACCACCTGGTAGTGAGGAGGATCCTCTTGGCCTGGTCCACGGCGATGTCACTGATGTAATCCTCGTGCTGTTTCAGATCCATGATGTCCGTCCCCTTCCTCATATCCCACACCTTCACAAAGACAACAACAAATCAACAAAAAGTTACATTTTGGGGATAAAACGTTTGCTAAAAACACCACAAGTCAGTTTGAATCATGACTCATTGACTGTATTTAAAGACCGCTGAGACAAACACAATATTGCTAGAGTATTTTATACAGTTAAACACCAAGACGAGCTGAGACCATCAAGAGACCACGACAGACCATCTTCTATCAATAAGAAACCAGGCAGGAACATGAACATGTCTGATTGGAAGCACAAAAAACATAATTTCAACTCATCTCATTATGTTTTATCTCATTATTCTGACATTTTATCTCATAATAATTCTGTTTTCATCTTATTTGTGTTCTTTTACTGGCAGTAATGGGCTTCCATAGATATGAGACTGGACCATTAAGACCAGTCAAAGGTTTCGGACCTTCAGGGTTCCCCCGTCGTCTCCGGTCGCCAGGATGTTCTCGTCCACCAGCAGCAGACTGTTGATGGGGGCCCCGTGGGCCCCCCGGATCCTCGTCACCAGCTGTCCCCGCTCCGCGTCCAGCATGTGGACGGCCTTATCCCTGGAGACGCTGTAGAGCTTCAGCCCGTCCTCGGAGAAGCGCACCTGGCGGCAGGACTTCATGTGGTGCCCGGAGGACCACAGCTCCCGGTTCTCGCCCTCCGTGCACGAGTACGAGTAGGCGTAGATGTCCCCGTCCACGTCCCCGCACACCAGGATGTCCCGGCTCGGGTGGAGGGCCACCGTGTTGGCGATCGCCTCCAGCCGGATGTCCTCCGGGGTGTCTCGGATCTTCGGCTCGGGCGGCTCGTCCTCGTCCTCATCCGCATCAGGATCCGGGTCTGGGTCCTGGTCTGCAGGCTCCGAGTCTGAGGTGTCTGGGTCTCTGGTGGTCTTTGTTTCTTCTGTTTTGTCCGTTTCTGGAGGGTCTGTCTCTGTTGATTCGGGTTCAACGTGTTCTGCGGGCGCCGCCATGTTGTTTTGCTTTTCTTTCTTCTTCTACGCTGAATTAAATGGTAGCGTCACCAGTGAAAGCAGATCACACTGCCCTCTACGGCACGTTACAATACTGCAATTATAATGTCGCAATAAAACACTGGCAATTAATACATTAATAAATACTGTACAACTCTTTGTTTTAAAAACACATATATATTGAAGATATTTTAGAAATATTATTGTAATGTTTTTTTTAATTATGTTTTTTGGCTTTTACTATTCTTTTTTAAATCTTTTTTTATCATACTGTGTTTATTGTCAACACCAAGGCACACTCCTTATACTGCACTTGTCAATAAACCTGTTTCTGATTGTATTGTACAAAAAAACTCACTCTTTAATGACTGAATTGACAATTTACATTGTTACCAATCTTTATTATTATTATCATCATCATCGTTATTACCATTATGTCAGCTTTGTTATATAATAGCAGGACTGCACAATGAAATGCAGCTGTAGCCCCCTATATGCACACATAGAACATGTAAAATAATTTTAAACTGATGAGTAAGCTCATAATATAAATACTTGTGTACTTGATGCCTTACATTTCCAAATATATCAACCAATAATCTTATTTAATTTTATTTTTTTCTTATTTTATTTCTTATTTTATTTGTAAATTTAGAGTTTTTATATAAAAGATAATTCCACAAAATATTTTATATTTGAGGTTTTTTAAATCCATACGTGTTTTTATAATTAAACTCATAATTACCTCAAATAAATAAGTCAATACGTGACGTGTCGAAATGGGCGGTCGCCATTGGCCGGTCATCCAGCCAATCGGGAGTGAATGCGGATATGACGAACAGACGCTAAAGATGGCGTCAGATTCAAACGGTTTCTGGACTAATGTCGCTGTAAGTGTTTCTAACAGTTCACTACGAGCTGTTTTAGGCTTTTCTTATTAATGTTATGAATCAGATGTGTAGTGTAGACTTCCTCCTACTTAATTATAGTTATAATAAAATGTGGGTTTAGAATATTAACCGTTAAACGGGTCTTTGTTTGTGTTGTGTGAGCCATGGAAACGTAACTCCATTCACTAAATGATTGAATTTAAGATTAAATTGTTGACAAACAAGCTTATAGAGAAGTTATAAACATAGTTATAACGTTTCTTGAAACGTCACGGCCTCCTTTTTAGTTCGGCTTATAGTAGATCCACCAAAACGTTTAAATGTTTAAATTAGCACTTTAAATGTGTAAACACAGCTGTTTGTTGTTGATAGAAACATTTAATACAACTTAAAATTATGAGAAAATCCGCCATCTTTGGTATTTTTCACTGATGCCGAATTGTAAAGTAGATCCGGTTGATTTGTAAACCGTCTCACTTCTTGTTGTAAACGTTACGTAACTCTGGTGATGTTATGGTGAATATTTAATAGATAGATTAGTGAACGGCGGTCGGTTTTCACGGGTTGAGCGCGTCTATTGGCAACAAAACATCAGCTGAGCAACCGGCCTCAGAGAGTATGTTGTCTGTCCGTGATGATGGAGCTGAAACACGCCCTCAGGGTTGTTAAAGTCATCCCGGCGGAGGAGCGATGCAGACGGAACCAGCGGAGCGGAGGAGACGACAGACCGGCCGGAGAAGAGCCGCGGAGAGCGGGCAGAGAGCCGCGGAGAGAGCCGCGGAGAGCGGGCAGAGAGCCGCGGAGAGAGCCGCGGAGAGAGCCGCGGAGAGCGGGCAGAGAGCCGCGGAGAGAGCCGCGGAGAGCGGGCAGAGAGCCGGGGGGAGAGCCGCGGAGAGCGGGCAGAGAGCCGGGGGGAGAGCCGCGGAGAGCGGGCAGAGAGCCGCGGAGAGAGCCGCGGAGAGGGGGGACGATGGAGCGGAGCCTCGGGGGATCCAGCAGAGAGCCGGGGTCACCTCCTCCAGGAGCTCCGAGGAGGAGATAGAGAAGTACACAGTGACTTTACTAGTACTACAATTATTACTATTACTACAATTATTACACACACATGTCTCTGTCTGTCTGCCTCTCTCTCTCTGTCTCTTGTCTGTCTCTCTCTGTCTGTCTGTCTCTCTGTCTCTCTCTCTCTGTCTCTCTCTCTCTCCCAGGTTAAAAGACGTCATCACCACCATGCAACAGAAGGAGAAGCAGACAGGAGAGACAGACAGACAGAGAAAGAAAGACAAGAGACAGAGAGCCGGGGTCACCTCCTCCAGGAGCGACGGAGGAGGAGAGCGGAGGGGGGAGAGGGAGGGGAGGAGCAGGAGGGCGGCGTCAGAAGGAGGTGAAGGAGGCGACAGGTCGGGGAGGCTGAGGAGGAGAGTCCATCAGCTGGAGAAAGACAGACTGGAGCTGACGACCAGCCACAACCAGGAGGTGAGAGAACACATATATATATATATATATATATATATATATATATATACATGTACCTCTGAGATGTAGTACAGTATAAAGTACACTCTGTACCTCTGAGATGTAGTACAGTACCTGTCTCTCCTCAGGTGACCCGGCTCCAGACCCAGCTGACCCGCCTCAGGTCCTCGGTGGAGCGAGGAGAAGCTCAGCGGGTGGAGCTTCAGTACCAGCTGACTCTGAGCCAGAGAGACTCCACCCGGGCCTCCGAGCTCACAGGTACGTAGAATCAAACGCACCCTCTGAGACCCGTGAGGGACAGATGCAGCAGTAAGATGTGTGTGTTTGTGTGTTTATAGAGCGAGCAGCAGAGCTCCAGCAGGAAGTCCAGGAGCTGCAGAAAGCTCTGGACATCACCCGGCAGGCCCGGGACGAGGACCAGCATGCATTGCAGCAGGAAGTGGAGGAGCGTGACGGACTGATTCACAGCCTCAGCTCAGAAAACCAGCGACTGCACCTACTGCTGCAGGTCTCACACACACACACACACACACACACACACACACCTTGTTTATTATGACAAAGGGGCGTTTATGGGCTACAGCGGAGTGTCGTTTGACCACAAGGTTGGAGGTTCGATTCCCGGCTCCTCCCGTCCTTCACAGCAGCTCCTCATACTGAGGATGAGTTCCATGCAGAGGGAACGTTAAGTTGAGTTTCTAACAGAAGTAACAAGATGAGAGCTCAAGGCTTCTAAACATGATTCCACAAAGAAAAGAAGTGTTGACACGACGACTACGTCCACTTCTCACAGACAGACTGTTACGTGATGTCATCAGTGTGTCGCTCTAGTGAACCTCAGAGTGAAGAAGTCTGTGATTATAGTTCAAACCATCAGTTTAGAGGAAAACCTCCTTCTGAGACGGAGCTGAGTCTAAAACGACTGCGTTGGCCGGGAATCGAACCCGGGTCAACTGCTTGGAAGGCAGCTATGCTAACCACTATACCACCAACGCTTACGTCTGCACATCTGGATCTCTGTGATTCATTCCCTCCCTCCCTCCTACCCTCTCTCTCTCTCTCTCTCTCTGTAGATCGCCCAGCTGCAGAGTGTGTGTGACAAGAAGAGTGTGTGTGTGCGTGAGCTGCAGCGCAGTCATGAGTGTGTGTTGTCTCGTGTGGAGGAGAGCGTGAGGAGGAGGGAGGAGGCGTGGAGCAGCCGACACACACACACTGTGAGCCTGCTGCAGGAGGAGCTGCAGGTAACACACACACACACACACACACACACTAACACACACACACACAGGCCCCTCAGCTGTTTCCATTCTTTCATAGATCTGATCTGCACTCAGTCTTCTGCTTTAGTGCTGAGTCAGCAGTGAAGATGAAGGAGGAAGACTCCGGTCAACTGTCCCTCTGGTCGTCTTCCTCATGAAGGGAGGAAAGAAAAGAGCAAACATTCTGTTGTTCAAGAGTAGAACAAGTTTAACAAAGTTAAATACAGCAACACTATTAGATCTCCTTCTTCTTCTACTCCTTCCTCTTAATTTTCTCCTTCTCTTCTTCTTCTTCTTCTTCTTCTTCTTCGTTGAATCAAACTGGTGAAAATGGGGAATTTTAAAACAACCAGTGGCTCCTCCCACCATCATGATGCCGCACTGGTTCTAAATTGGTTCTCTTTTTCCTCAGCTGTGTCGCTCTCGGTGCGACTCCCTCCGTGACCGCACCTCCTCCCTGGAGCTCCGCTGCTCCTCGCTGACCTCCGACCTCTCGGCGTGCCGCGGTGAGTCGGCCTCCCTCCTGTCGGCGTGCGCCCTGCTGGCCGGCACCCTGACTCACGCCCGCCGCCGCCTCCGGGCGCTCTGTGAGCAGAAGGCGCTGCTGCGCCGGCGGCTGGCGGAGAGGGAGGCGCTGGAGGAGGAGGTGAGGAGGCTGGCCGGAGCTCTGGGAGGGGAGGAAGATGAGGATGAAGAGGAGGGGGAGGAGAGGAAGAAGAGGAGGAAGACGATGGTGGCGGTGAGGCGGTGGAGGAGAAGCGTGTGCGCGGTGCTGGCTGTGAGGAGGTGGAGCGCTCTGACCCAACAGACGACGGTGTTGTTTAGGCTGGAGACGGGGGAGGGAGTCTGTGGAGGAGCCGCCACAGCAACAGAGAGGGGCCAAGGTGGGCGGAGCTCAGGTGGGCGGAGCTCAGGTGGGCATCACTTCTCCTTCTTCTTCTTCTTCTTCTTCTTCTTCTGCTTCTGCAGAAAATAGTTTTCATAGCAGTTTTGTTTGTTTCAGTTAAAGATGATGATGGTGATGAAGGTGGTAAAGGGGCGTGTGCTCGCTGGCTCCGCTCTAGAGGACTTTCCTCCGTCATTCTGTCCTCCATGGCCGACCTGCAGGGGGCGCTAGCACACACAGGTAACACGCACAACCACACGGACACACATATTATATATTCATAAATGCATGTGTGCTTGTACAGATGTTATATCTCTTCTGACTCCTCTAGGCTCCGCCCCTTCAGACGTGACGTCAGCAGCTCGCTCCGCTTTGTCCCGCCTCCTGGACCACCTTCTCGACCAATCGGACGCGCCGTCTGGTCTGTCAGACGAGGACACGCTGAGCGGCCGGCTGAGACTCGGGCTGAGCAGACGGACGCCTCCACGGCCAAACATGAAGGTCACACACACACACACACTCACACACTTCAGTGTGTAGCCTCTGACTATTTCATATTTTAGTATTTGTTAATATATCTTACAGTGGACCTTAATGTTTCGGTCAGTGTGTTGATCCTCACCAGCTGACCTCTGACCTCCCATCAGACCCTGGTTTCCACCCTCCAGCAGCACTTCCTGCTCTTCAGCCAACGGCTGCACTCGGCCGAGGTGGAGAGGCGGAGCCTGAGGCTGGAGGTGGCCAATCTGAAGAGAGGACTGCGGAAGGAGAGAAAAGACACCTGCAGAACGGTGAGGCTCGTCACACACACCTGTACTGTCTGATGAACACACACTCCTGACTCTTTGTGTGTGTGTGTGTGTGTGTGTGTGTGTGTGCAGGTCCCAGTACAGCGGTTCCACAGTGTGTGTGTGGAGCTCCGTCAGGCGCTGAGCAGGGAACAGGAAGCCCAGTCGCTCATTCAGGAACAGAGCGAGCAGCTTCACACACTGCAGCTCAAAGTCAACACACACACCGACCAGCAGGCGGACACACAGCGCACACTGAGCCACACCTCACAGGTTCTGTTCAAAATGTTTTATTTAAATCTACATTTACCTGTCACAGCAGGTGAATGGACCTCTTATCCTCTTGTTGAAGTCCCTGACTGGAAGCCCACACTGTCACACGTTGTAGTATGACCCCAGGTAATATGCTAACTAACACCTCTCTCTAGTCTCTGTCGGAGGCGCGGCAGGATGTGAGTCGGAAGGAGCGCTCGCTGAGGATTCTGGGTAAGCACCTGTCGGGGGTTCAGAGGGAGAGGAGGCAGCTGGAGGAGAGACTGCAGCGAGTCGAGGACGAGCTGAGGGACGCCGCCAGGTAACAAACACCTGTCGTACCTCACTCCTGTCGTACCTCACTCCCCTCACACCTGTCGTACCTCACACCTGTCGTACCTCACCCCTGTCGTACCTCACACCTGTTGTACCTCACTCCCCTCACACCTGTCGTACCTCAATCCTGTCGTACCTCAAACCTGTCGTACCTCACTCCCCTCACACCTGTCGTACCTCAATCCTGTCGTACCTCACTCCTGTCGTACTTCACTCCTGTCATACCTCACACCTGTCGTACCTCACTCCTGTCGTACCTCACCCCTGTCATACCTCAAACCTGTCGTACCTCACTCCCCTCACTCCTGTCGTACCTCAAACCTGTCATACTTCACTCCTGTCGTACTTCACTCCTGTCGTAATATCATTTTTTATTTTATTATATTTCTCTTCTTTAATAGATGTAAAGATTATCTGATCAGCAACATGAAGGCTGCAGAGACGAGTTACAAGGAGGTGAAGACACATGATGTATAAATGTGTGTGTGTGTGTGTGTGTGTGTGTGTGTGTGTGTGTGTGTGTGTGTGTGTGTGTGTAGATACATGTATGTATGTATAGAAAAACACAGAACACACAGATTTCCACATCTGGTAACATGCTGTATGGTCTTCAGGTCAGAGAGAGTCTCGTCCAATCACGTCGCTCCCCGTCAGCTCCGCCCCGCCCCCTGCTGTTACCCAGGGAACACCTGGAGCTGAGTGGAGCAGAGAGCATCATGGGAGCTCCTGAGGTGGCAGCGTGCCAGGTTTATAAACCAACAGATTACTGTTTATCCTGCTGATTCTCATCCGTCCGTTCATTCAATAATTAATTGATTAATTGATCCGCACTCCGTTCTTCCCTCCGTCTCTCTGCAGAGTCTCCTCTCCTCCGTCTCTCAGCTCTGTCTCACCTGCAGCTCCAGGATCGATTGGCTGGAGCAGGAAGTCTCCGCCTACCGAGGTCATGTGACCGCGCTGCGCGGCGAGCTGCAGGACGCCTGTCTCCGGGACAACCTCGCCTACGTCCCCGTGAGACTCATTTATTTTATTTATTTTTATTTGATTTGTCGTACAAGGCAAATAAAAAGCCTTGTAACTTGATATTATAAAATAATAATAAAATAAATAATAATAAATAAACAAACCAATCATTTTCACTGTGTTTCAGGTGGCTGAGTTTCATGAAACATATCCAGTCGCTGACATTGAAGCCCCTCAACCTGATTTGTCGAAGGACCTGCCAGTCAGTTTAAGCCCCGCCCCATCTCAGTTAAACCCCGCCCCGCAGCTTCCCCTCTCCAAACCCTTTAAGAGGAAAGCCGTGAGGAAGAGCAGAGGAGGACGAAGATAGATGGTGTGTGTGTGTGTGTGTCTCTGTCAGTGTGTGTGTGTGTGTGTCTGTCTCTGTCAGTGTGTGTGTGTCTGTCTCTGTTAGTGTGTGTGTGTGTGTGTGTGTGTATGTGCAGCTGGTTTCCTGTAAAATATTTACCTTGTTCTCGTAAACTTTGACCAAACGTGTGTTTTGTTTTTAAATAAAGAATAATGTCCACAATCTTCCTCTCGGTGTCTTCTGCTCCTTTAATAAAACGTCGACATGATTAACAGAACATATCATCCTTAATGACGACGACGACTCTTATTCTGAAGAAGAATCATAATAATAATACGAGTAAACGCCAGTATTAAATACTATTAAACAAAGAGAAACAGAGCATGAATCACTGACAAACAGCTTTACTCTCAGTGAGTGTGGCTCCAGTGGGGTTCCTAATAAACTGAACACTGAGTCAGAGCGTCTTCATGTGTGAGAGAGAAAAGTTTACAACCAGAAGAAGAAGAAACACGACAAACATTTTATTTAACTGCTGAATCGGCACCACGACTCTGTGTGTCTGTGTGTGTGTGTCCTCAGGCAGTGTGTGTGTGTGTGTGTGTGTGTGTGTGTGTGTGTCTTTCTGCCTCTGTGTGGATTTCTATTCATGTGTCAACGGGGGAAAAAAAGCGTCCTTACGCTCACACACCCTCAGGCTCTGTGTGTGTGTGTGTGTGTGTGTGTGTGACGTCTTTTACAAAGCGACTTAATCTGCTGTCACACACACACACACACACACACACACACACACACACACACACACACACACACACAGAGTTGTGCTGATTCAGCTGAACAGGATCTTCTTCTCTGGAGATGTTTGTCATTTTCTTCACTTCACACTTTTTAAACTCGTCACAATGAAAGAAACTCAAGTTTTATTTGACTTGAAAACACTTTAGTGTCACTTTTCACCCAACGACAGTAATCCCTACATTACAACATACATATACATATACATATATATATACATATATATGTATATATATATGTATATATATACATATATATGTATATATGTGTGTGTGTGTGTGTGTGTGTGTGTGTGTGTGTATACATATACTGTACGCACGTATATAGTGTGCGTTAACAGTAGCCGGGCTGACTGCCGGTGACAGTGGGAGCCACTAAAGCTGTGTTGACTTCCCTGTCACTGCCCTTTCAATGGAGCGGCTAGCTTAGCTTAGCATCACAGACAGGACAGTGACGGCTGTATTGAACCGTTTGGACGTCCTGCGCTGCGGTCGGAGTTCGTCCACAGATTAACTCTTAATTCCCGATCATCTCGCTGAGGTTTAAATATCCGGCCACGAGGATGAAATCAAGATAATCCCGAAACAAAGAGGAGCTCGAGACGAGAGACACGAGGAGACGTTGACATCAAGTTCTCTTCTTTATTTACCACACATACACATATACCTGATACTGTTACTCTCCATCTAAATACTGGACTTTGTACTGTGCCACATCTCAGAGGTACATATTGTACTTCCTACTCTCAGAGGTACACAGTCGTGGAGTATTTCCACAGTGTGATGTTAGTACTTTTACTGCAGTAAAGGAGCTGAATACTTCCTCTGATAATATTAAAGGAGGTGAAGTAAAAAAGTCACATCTGGTCTTCTGGACGAACATTTGACTAAAACGTAAAATAAACTTTAATCTGACGTTCAAACACTTTGTTCCATCTCAACTGACTGTAATCCTGAAATTATAACGGGATTATAGTCTCATTGAATATCAGAGCTGTGATGAAGATGAGGAGGAGGAGGAGGAGGAGGAGGAGGAGGTTGAAGCTCATTCGAAAAAGAATTTTAAAAAAAGTACAAAAAGAATTCTTAAAAAAACCTGTCAGCGTCCTGTTTTTATCTGTTGATGAATATTCAGAAACTTTTCATGAGAGCGAGTCCTGTCCTAGTTGTACCTGCGACAACACACACACACACACAC